AAATATAGATAAAATAAGGGCCTAATTAATATTAAGCTCTTTATATCTCTTAGTAACTAACTTTAAGAGGCTATCATAGTTAATATAGAGTCTAGGGAGGAGAGATTTCTAGAGATATAGAAGATCTTATAAAGTACTATTTAAGACTTTAAATAGCTAGAAGATTAGAATATTAAGTTAGAGTAGTTTATAGAATATTATAAAGCCCTAGAGAAAATAGAGAGTAATAGCTCAGGGATATAAGATAGTAGTTAGGCTAATAATAATTTAAGCTAGTCTAACTTAGAAGTATTAGATTATAATAAATACCTTAATAGAGATATTTTAGATTAGTAGAGTATAATAACTTTAGATAATATATACTATAGAGCTAAAAAAGAATATAGAATCTCTTTTATTATAGGTCTAATCCTAGGTTAGTCTAGGGATAAGAAGTCTAGATATTCTCTTATTATTAGTTACTAATATAATAGAAAGAAAATAGTATATATAATTTAGTCTATAAATCTTCCTACTTATATTAACTATAATATAAGTATTAAACTTAAGTCTTATACCTAGTAGGCTATTAATAATAAGATAGACTATAACTTAAGGCTAATTAAAGGTATTAGTCTTATAATATAGAAGGTAAATATAAGTTATAAGCTAGACCTAACCTTATCTCTATATCTAGATAAAGTTAATTTATACCTAGAGATATATATTTAGGTCCTCTAGTATAATAGAGTCTAGATCTAGGAGACTTACTTAGGCTTATAATAGATTATAAAAGAATTAATAAGCTTTTAAGTTAATCTCTTAATATATTATATAGTAACCTCTTAAGATATAGACTATAGGGAATTACTAACTAGTAAAAGGCTAAGCTATCTACTTATTTTACTAGTAGATCTCTAAAAGAGAGGTCTTCCTATAGTTAGAGCCTTAGAATCTTCCTCTATATTAGCAGGAGATCTAAAGGGGTAAAATATAGTAAATAAGCTAAAATTACTACTTAATAAATTACTACTATCCCTAGATATAGACTATTAATCAACCTTTAGCAAGGTATAGTTAAAGCTAAATAGTAAATTACTAGCACCTAATTAGAGAACTAGACTAGATAGTAAGGCTACTCTATAGTCTCCTTATTATATTACTATAGGCTTTAGGTATCCTACCTAATATAGATAAGCTAAACTTCTTAGGATAGTATAAAACTAACTTTAATATAGTACTTCTAGGAGAGTTACATAAGAAGATAACTTTTAATATACTATAGGATAGAAATACTAGTAGTCTATATCTAGGATATAAGGTAGGAAGGGGTAATATATAAATTAAAAAATATATTATTTTTTTTTTTTTTTTTTTTTTAGCTTATAATTATAGTTTAGTCTAATAATATACCTAAACTTAGTAGAGTAGATAATATACCTTTAAGAATAGTTAATAAAGTATAGTTAATTTTAAACCTATATCCTTATCCTAAATTATATTTCCTAAGCTTCCTCCCTTCTCCTGCACAGAGATAGCAGTAAATAATTCTAGAGATTATATCTAGAGTTATTAAGTCTTAAAAGGCTTTATAGAAGGGTAGCTAGCTATATATAGGGGACTTTTATATTTCCTATAAATATAAAGATTACTATTTACTATTATTTAGTTATTATAAGGACTACTAGTATAAGCTCTTTAGCTAGAAGGATATAATAAAAAGTAACCTAAGTTTATCTTAGATAGTTATTAATAAGAAATATAATATATAAATACTAAAAATATTAATTACTATACTATACTTATAGTTCTAATAATCTCTTCTTTCTATAAGGAGGCTTATAGCAGTATATATCTTTAAGATAATATACTAGTTCTACTATAGATCTATATCCCTATGTGCATGTAGGGTACTAGTAATAGAACTTACTAAATAGGTCCTAGTGGCTAAGGTAAGAATAAATATAGTTATACTACTTACTTATATCTAGATATTACTATATCTATTAAATAGGTCCTAGGCTTGTGTTGCCTAGATAGAAAGGGTAGTAGCCAGGTTTAACTAGATAATTTTAGAATATAATTAGATTATAGTGAAGTAGTTCACTAGGTTTACTAAGATAATCCTAACAGTACTAATACTATTTATTCTAGCTATTAAACTATAAGTTATACTTATAGTAGAACTCTATAAAATTATTAACACTCATTTAATAAAGCATTATATGGTAGTAATAATAGAGATAAAGCTATTAGTAATAGGTATAAAATCTAATATATTAGTATATATAGTATATATAGAGAGGAAATACTTACCTATTTATTAGTTTACTATAAATATATTAGCTATTAACTAGCTATAGCCCTGATTAATAGATAACTAAATAATACTAGTTATAGATTACTTTTAATACCTTTATAGCCTCCTACCCTACTAAGCTTTATATAGTTAACTTAGTTAATAAAATCTAAGTAAGGAGGTCCTGCTTAAATATAGCTTATTAGTAATAGTAGAAGAAGGTTTATTTATAAATACTTCTAGGTTAAGTACCCTATTAAATATATTATTATTTAAGTTTCTTAAGATATAGCTTATCCTTTTAGCTCTAGACTTAATATTATAATAACTAAATCTTATGCTTAGTTTCTAGACTATAGGCTATTATAAGTTAGGTGCTAAGAAACTTAAATTCTATATTAAGAATAATAATATCTTCTTATTCCTAAAATTTAAATTCTGCTTTAGCTAGTAGAGATTACTATAAGTTTAGATTATAGTATATATCTATACTATGCTAGTTCTGAATATGCTTATACTAGGAAGTAATATTTAAATAGGTAGTAGATCTATCTACTTTATATATAGGGTATATATATAATTAGCTAAAAGTCTATACTTCTATATATAAGGCATACTTTATTTAAGCTATCTAGGAATATTTCTTATCTATAATATATAAGTACTTAGATAGGAATTTAAGATCTATATATCTTTTTACTAGCTTCTATAAGTACCTACTATTAATATATATAGGYAGTAATATTCTAYTTATATCTACTYTAATAYCTAAGARTAGTAAACTYTTTTCTAAATATATTAGTAYCTCTTAYCTTACTARTAGAGATTTTAATATCTAACTTATTCTATAGCCTAAAAATAGRAGTATTAAAGAGATCTTCTTAGAAATAGATYYTAGAGATAATATAGTTATTTTATATATCTAAGTTACTAAGCTTAATAGAGTCTAGTTTATTAAGGATCTTAGTAGATAATTTATAATAGTAAAAAGCTTAGTTAGCTAAAAATAATAGAAGTATAAATAAAAATAGATTAAAAAAAAGTAGGACTTTATCCTTATATATCTTATAGAAAGTATAGACTAGAGATTCCTATTTTTTTATTCTTTAATACTCTTTTATAAACTCCTAAGCATAAGTCAGCACTAATATTAGAATATTATTAATAAACTTAATAGTAAGAATAAAATACTATATATAATTAGCTTTATAAGGCTTCTACTAAATATAGTCTACTAAATATAAATCTTATAGTATACTACTATAGCACTAGCCTAGAGATTAATATCCTTATTATTATAGTTATCCTTCTACTAGAAAATAGATTAATATACTGTTAACTCATGCACCTCTCTAGTTTAAGTAGAAGAAAAATAATAGAGTAGTATTAATATAGAAAGCTATACTTAATTTTAATTAGAATACTTATTCTAGTATTCCTTAAAGTCCTAATACTAGAGCTATATTTAGAGAATAGTTAAATTATTTAGAGATAGTCTATCTCTAGGTATCTTAATATCTAGAAGACTAACTTTAGTCTTTAAGTCTGATATAATATACTTTAAGATTTATTAGTATAGAGCTAGATAGAATATATAAATATATACCTCCTTTATAGTAGTAGATATACTTAGTAGGATAAAGAAGTCCCTTATATAAGCTAGAGCTATCTTAAAGCTCTAATAAAAAGTTTTAATAGTCTCTACTATAGACTTTTCCTTAATATAACCTATAGTATTCCTTATATAAAATTCTAAAAACCCTTTATATATTCTAATATTAGGGGGAAAGTAGGCCTTAGGGTATAGCTTTAGGAAACTAAGAGATAAGTAATAAGCACCTCTTAGTAGGCTTAAATAACTTACTTATTAAAGTATATTAGACTTTAGTTATATTTCTTAGATATTCTTAGAAGAATAGCTCTTTTAATCTCTTTATTATTAATTTTATTAAGATTAATTAAGTATGTAAATTTTGCTACTACTTTTTATAGTATATTATCTAATTAATCTTAAGCAAGTATTGAAGAAGGAATAGGAGTAAGATAGATATATTATAAGATTTTAGATTACTTATTTCTCTTATAGAAGCTATTTTACTTATTTATAAAAATATAACTTCTTATTAGCTTAAGTATAGAATATTTAGGCACCTAAATCTTCACCTAAAGGTGCTGGAACTTAAGCAGCAAAGCAGTAATGGAATAGATGCTAGGAGAGGTAACCACTAACATATACATGCTATTATATGTTTTCTTTTTCTGTCTTTTTGCTTCTCAAATTGTTCATTTTAAATATAATTGCGCTGTGGTCGTAAATGGAGTGAGAAGGGGTCTATTATCGACGTTGAGTGTTGACGGCGCGGAATGCCTCTGACAGCTATATATATAAAGAGTTACTACCACTAGTGAGCTATCCGATGATAGAGGTTCATTATAAGAAAATAAGTTGATGTAGTAGTTCATTGCTTTAAAGGCAATGAGGATAGCAACATATCCACACATAATTTGGTTATAGTTTCTAATGCGGAGGCCGATTATGATATATAACGGATGCTGCCCTTTACCATTCCCAAAGACTTAGCAAGTACCCAATGCTCCAAGCAGAGAATCGAATTCCGACTGCAATCACGCCGCAACAATGCTGCTCAGACACTCGGAGAGCAGTGTCAAGTCAAACCGGCCAGGCGCTTTAATTTACAGAGATCTCTCGTCGAGTAGAATTTCAGATCTTGAGAGACTGGTCGTCGCATGTGAGAAACCCCATAGGTAAACTGCCAAATCTGTAATGGTCTAGGTGGAGTGGTAAGATCCAGCTCATTGGCTCGGTGTCACTCGAGTTGAAAGGCACATCAGGAATCTAGTATGCCGGTCAGCCGCCGGACGAGTACTTGCGAACATGGAAACACACTCACTAGAAAGTTCCAGTCCTTCGTCATCTCGACTGCTATGTCGTCCACGGGTCCTCCCCTCAGCTCTTGGATCGAGGCTGCCATCTCTTCTAAGATCGGCAAGCATTTCTCTCCAGCATTCTCGACGGCTTTGACCAGTTGCGTGGTGGCCTCCCTCTCTCCAAGGCCGCGCATCAGTCCTTCGACCCGGGCCGAAACGATGCTCATGAGCAAGTAGCCTTTGGCATTGGTCTCACCGGCCTTGAGGGCCCTCAAGCACCATCCCTTTGCATCCTCCAACACCGAAAGAAGGTCTGGCCGCAACGGAGCAGGACAGAGACCGTCGTCCTCCTGTAACTGGGTGCACAGCTCTATCCCAATGAGAGAGCCAGCATGTATGGCCACGCTCGGGTAAAAACCCGAGCTGCAGGTGACGAGTCGCGGCAGATCGTTACTGTACAACAGAGCCGCGTCGCTGGTGCGAGCAACGGTCGTCGGCGATGGGGACGGACACGCAGCTCGCCACAGTTTAAGCGACGACTCGACCACCGGCTTTTGTGAGAAGACGTAGGCGGCCCCGTGCCGTGCCTGGCCGAAGAATGGAATGTGCAGAGCAGAAAAATAGCGGTGCATGAGGAGATCCACGGCCTGAATTTCGAATTGAGAGGGCCCTTCGCCGGAGCTGGTGCATGCTCGCAGGGTCTGTGCCAGCACGCGATACGCCTCTCACAGGTCTGCATCGAGCCGGAGTGTCTCCTCATATGTGCCGGGAGAGGCCAAATCGTTCAAGAATTTAACCACGGCAAGGCGATAGGGGAAGGTCCTGCGGAGTGCCACCGCCATGGAGACTTTGGTGAAGTCTCCTTCCGGTCTCCGAACTGGATCCTGAGCCTCGAGCTGCTCATCGTCAAAGTTGGTAGGAGCGGCCGTGTCGAAGTCGTTGAGAGATAGTAAGGAAGGACTACCAGAGGTTAAACTAGACTGCAGATTGACCTCGAGAATTGTGTTCCAGAGTCGTCGACGCATTTCTATTACAAAAGTCGTCATCTGGGGTAGGCGGCCGGGATCCCTGTGCAGGCCCATGTAGATCGCTTTCCGCAGCAGAGCGCCGGCCGATACCCAAGGTAAATCCCCACTGAATCCGACTTGTTCCTGCGCGAACAAAAGCAGCAGGTTGGCCTGGAGAGATTGAATGTTCAGCCTTGACTTGTACTTTGGACCCGAGATCCAAAGCTGAGCCTCGTAGACCCATTGAATGGCCGAGGCCCGCAACGAGAACCGGTCATCGTAGGTTACAGCGCCGAGGGCAAGCACAAGCTTAACCTGCATCAAGAAGGCCATGTCGGGCCTTTCATTCAATATCCAGAGCGCCTCATACTTTCTGCGAAAGGCGGGGATGTGTAGGATTCGATAGATAGCCTCAGTTGTTCGGAGGTAATTATCGACGAGTGCATCCGCTATCTCTTTAGGAGGCAGTGTGGACGTCGGGGGTGAAGGCCATGAAGGCCATGCAGGCGCTCGTGCCGCTTTGATGCTCCGAGCCAAGTCTTTGCACTTCTTGATGCCTATCCAGGCCGGCGACGATTCGTCACGAAGGAGGGTTCAAGTATACTGAAGATGTCGCGAACCTATTGCAGTTTAGTTTCTGATTATGTCCATGAAGACAGTGATGCAAGTAAAATGGAACCGTGTGTGTGCACCCACCAGACAGACACCGCTGACGGCCCAATGACTTTGGCCGAACAAGCGTGTCTTGAGGCTCACATTGTAAGGGATGGGCTCCGGCTGGCCCAATGCGCCTCTCTTACGATGGATATGAAGCGTTCCGCTCAGACGTGAGCTCATTGTCTCGATATCCGAGTCGGGATCTAAATCATGGGACGGCTGGTTCGGCCTGGCATTTGCTTGGGCCAGCTGATTCTCAAGTTGTTGAATCCTTAGTTTCAACTGTGTCATCTCGGCATCTTGACTAGGATGCTCGCTCGGGGGCCTCGATACATTCGAGATATCGGCCGCCACTGAGCTCAGTAAGTGGCCTGGAGGAGTTGACAGACTATCACCGGATGCACTGCCTATTTGCATCGACTCTTCGCTCTCGACCGTGAGACCTTGGCCAGCGTGGTGCTGTGGGGAGTAGCCAGGAGAGTGAGGCCGAGGACCCTGATTCTCGTAGACGCAAGCGCCGCTTCTGGACCGCAGACAATTGCTGCAGGGTCTCTCTCGATTACATCGGATTTTGCGTCTCCGACACAGAGTACATGACACTGTTGGCCTTTTGCGCCGCCCCTCAGACAGGACCATGAATTTTGCCATGAAGACAAGAGGATAGAGGCAGTCTGGCCGTGGAATTCAGCAATTCATGACAGGTTTCAAGTTGAGCGTCACATGATAATTGGACGAAAGGTGAAAGAATTAATTTGACCTTGTGGTTGAGCATAAAAGTTCTTAAAAGATATTCTTTATATATGAAGAATTTAAAGTGTAAGCTAGAGTAGTCTTAGATACATCATACTGGTTCGTGATATTACTTGCACATAATACAGAAAAGAAAGTAGCATCCCACAGCTCCCATTCAAGCAAACTCAAGCTGCGGTCGAGATAGATCCATCAGTCTTCTTTCAAAAGACCACTAACCACCTCAGCAGCCTCTGCAACCACAGCCCTCGTTTCCCCATCCAGAACCTCCCCCTCTGCACTCAACTCCCGCAGCCTTCTCTCCCACAACTGCCACCGCTCCCTCGTCAGCCCGTCCTCCCTCGGCCACAACTCCGTCTTCTCATCCAACGCCGCAGCCCAATGCCGCCGAAGCTCCTCGTGGTCCGCCTCCCACAGCGCCACCCCCCCATCCCGCACCCAAGTCGCCGCCACCCGGACATCCAGCGCCCATACCTCCTCCGGCGGGATTATATGCGCTTTTGGTTGATGGGCCTGGGGTCGCTCACACTCCAGCACGTCACGACACGCATAAAATACCCATACAGGATGCACCCCGCCTTTCCTGTTAGTCGCTTTCAGCAGCGCGGCGGAGAAGGCGCAGAAGTGGAGAAAGGACTCCGCGCCGCGGCCGGTTGCAGTGGAGGTAGAATCACGCACGCCGTCCCAGTCGCGCCAGGCCTCGAGGATATCGTGGACGTCGCGCCACTGCGCGCTGAAGCGGGGTAGCGTCCCCCAGTTCAGCTTTCCGTCGGGGCTGGTGTAGCTGCGGAGGCTGCGCTGGGCGTCGGATCCGGCGCGGACGTTGGTTGGCTGTGTTGGTGGTTGTGTGCGGAGGGCGTCGAGGAGGGCGAGGTGGGGGGTGTGTGTTGTTGAGGTGGCGACGGCGGTGAAGAAGGCGTCCCAGAGTTGCCAGAGGGCGTGGGCGGGGTCTGGAGAGGTGGTGACTGCGGTGACAAGGTGGGCGGCTGTCTCGTCTGGAGTTGAGGATGGGTTGGTAGAGAGTAGAAGGGCTTGGATGGGGGTGGTGAAGGGATTTGGGGGGTTGGTGCCTGGGATGTCGAGAATAGTGGTCATTTTGAGGTGGAAGGTGGAAGGTGGAATGGTGAAGAAGTTAGATGTTTTGTTTGGTATGAGTTTCTGGTGGTTTTAACTCTTGATGTCTTTATCTTAGCGTCTAAATAGGTGAATAACATGACTCAAACCTCGAGTTAGGTGGTTGTCCGATTATGCGTCATCTCACCTGCATAATGTGCCACCGGGAATAAGCACAGCCGCAGCCGCAGGGTTGGAGTCCCTGCAGCCAAGATATATTTGCTCGTCGAATCAAAGTCTTTCTTTCGCTTAACATGTTGGAAATCATTCCTCATACCTGTTCTCAATCTTTTATTGCATCATCCAACATGGATTACCATGATATGGTCATAGCCCCGTTGAGTGGTACGCTTATACTCATTGAAAGCAAAAAAGTACTGGCTGTGATAGGACAACTAATAACTACCTGACTATCTAGGCAAGGTACTCGAACCGAGCCTCTACTGGGGGCCTTACAGGGAGGAATAAGTGCTCGCAAGAGTTCATGATTGACCGAGTTGAGCTGCAAGGCTGAAATCCAACAGTCGAAACACATTTGTCTGGTCAATGATCATGTTACTATGGTCTCAGTAGATGTCAGCCAGGCACATCTTTCCTCAATCGAGAAGGACACAATGCTGCGCCATGTAGGCCAAGGCATTCATACGTGAGATAACCCTTCGAAAGAGGCCTGTACAGGCGGACCAGTCCATCATGATGTCAATTCGAGTTACATCGTCCACCTTAGCAGCTTTGAAGTCAAGGATGATGCTGCTTATCAAGTTCTGTACAATCGCTGGACTGTCCTCCAGAGAAGCCTCACAGAGGTATAAATTGCCCTCTTCCAGCTGCCATTGCTCTCTCTATCTCCATCTCCAACCACCATCTCAACAGACAGCCACAGTCATCTCTTATCTCCAAATTCCAAGTTCCATCACAATGCAGCTCTCACCTTTCACCCTCCTGACCTTGGCCCTTGCCCTCGTGCAGACCTCTTCTGCTGCCCCCGCCCCCGCCGATGCTCTGAGCAAGCGAACCGTCGACAATCTCCCCCCAAGTGACCAGTTCATCGAGTGCCCAGGCTACCGCTACAGCCGCGCCCAAGTCGAAAAGGCCATCCAGCGAGGAATCAACAACACCCCAACGAACGAGCCCCAGCCCGGTTTGTAGTTTCACCTCATTATGCCATCCCACACCACTGACCTCGTTTCTCTTACAGGCGGCTACCCTCACACCTTCGGCAACAACCGCAAGCTAGACTTCGCCAAGGAATGCAAGGGCAAGACGCTGTACGAGTTCCCCCTCCTGCACGGGGATAGCATCTACGGGGGTGGCGACCCTGGCGCCGACCGGGTCGTGTTTTTCATCCACTCGAGCAATCCCGACACCAATCCTACGCGGGATGGCTCGTACTGCGGTGTTATGACTCATGACGGGGCGCCGGCGGGCGAGTTTGCGTTGTGCCCGGTGAAGGATTAAACAGGAGATTGCTGGCTGGGGCAAAGATTGAATGTGTACTGTGATTTTCAGTTTGGTAAATGTCACTTGCTATAGGTAGATAGGATAGGAATTGATGAAAGTCTTTCTTTCAATGCAGATAGCACCATAACCTAAACTGTATAGACGTAGCTCAGGCAAGTTGGAGTTAGGGCTATTCCTCCATGTGGAGCTGCGGTCCGGCCCCAGTCGGGTGGCGTCGGTGGGGGCCAGTACTTTGGATTGGGGCCAAACCATGATCAGGCTGCCTAAGGACAACAAAAGATGAGATCTAATCAAGTGTATGGAAGTAAGCGGCATAAAGCAGGGCAATGGCCCCTGCATTAATGACGCAGTGTCATATCTCCGGGGAGTGACCTTGGGGTTTCTGATATTGATACAAGCGGGGCCGAGATTCAGCCTTGCGTAAATTCAATCAATTAATGAGAAAATGGGGGCGGAAGGCGCCTAATGGCTGTCTGGCAACTGGCGCCAACGCTTCTTGTCCTGGAATGGAATGATAAATGGGTTATCCTCAGACAAGGGATGACGTCATTGTACCTTTGCAGTTGCGAGCATATAAAGACGTTACAGAATCTTGCCCTTGCCGTCTCCAATTTTTCCCGTCACGCCAGAAAGCATTACCATGACTCGCACCTTGTTTTTCTGTATCGCAGAAGAGGCTAAGCCTGTAAGTCATATTTGTAATCCATCAAGGACGTCACGCCATAGTGGCAGCGTCGAGGCTGACTGGGATTACCAGTTCGTGCCCAAGGCCTTGGGCGAATTCAGTACAGACCCAGAAGACCCCCCCTTTCTATACTATCTTGTTGAATCGAAGGACTGCCCCAGAACGGGAGAGGGATTCAGAATGAGGCTACAAGACGGTGAATCTTTCGAGTCGGATTTCATCAACGCCTCCAAAGAGGAATGCCAGAACTGGGCACTCGACAAGTGGCTCCAGCCGATCAAATTCAACTTTATCGAACCGAGTATTATCGCTATTGCAGATGAGCGAAGTGCTCGGGATGGGACTCTTCTTATGAGCTTCTACTTTGGTGACGATGCCCCGGACGAGCCTCCTATGGAATTTGACGGATATGGGCCTCTCCCGCCAAAGGGCAACACCTGGTACGACTTCAGAATTCATCATAATGCAGCTCAACTCTTCCACGCCTCGCTTTTGTTCACCGAACCGGATATTTTCTTTCCCATCTATTTTGGACGACCGGAGAAATTCACGGATGAGACTGGCGTCTTCGATGTGCTGAAAGCGTGGAAGCACACAGAGGAAGAAAGCAGTGACAAGGAGGAGTAGAGATTACCTATCTCTTCCTGATTGGCCTTAGAGCTTAGCTTCTGAATAATTCTATTACCTTTTTGTTGTTCTTGCCATTCTCGCTCTCCTAATATCAATCTAGTATGATGTGGCCCGGTTGTTCTTCCTAAGCGATCAAATCAATAGGTAATGTTGAAAATCTGATTAGTACTACCCTACTGCATAATTTTTAAGGCGCTGCGTGACTACCTAATTGCCGGATCTCGGGCATGAACTCATGACTCTGATGAACAGTTTGTATTTCAAGACATATAAATCAATTGCAACATTTCATCACGAAGCCAAACAAAGCGACAGTATAACAGATAAGGACATTTCCAAGTCAGAATGGCAATATATCCGCGGAGAATTCGACAGAATAAAATCCACATGTGTACGGGACTTCTCTCGATCCGACCTTTCAACAATGAGTCCCGCGGTTTGATAGGCATACATCGGTACACTTATTATGAATCCAGACCTGACTAGTCTTGCCCGAGACCGCATTCTGGGTGCATTGATTCAATACTATTTCTTCATTAGTATGGTTTAAGCAAACCTCAAGAAACTAAAAAGCTGTTGACTCACTGGTACTAGCATAGGGGGCTAGGTCGCTTTTCCGGAGGCCAGTGATTTTAGAATGCCATGAGACGCAGCAGAACGCGTTCTTGTCAGAGTCACCTTGGTAGCATATCTGGCGCGGCGATTCACCGACTGTCGCATCGGAGTTGTCATAAAGCTCAGACACGAGAGCGACACAGTTGCCATTCCGAGCCGCATGCGAACTATCACAGACGGGCGTTTTGTTCGCGTTCCCGCAGCTGCGTTGCTGGAGATTGACTGTCTCAGATTGTTCGGTCTGACTGCCGGTTGGGGGACCGAAGTAAATGAGAGAACCGCCACCTCTACCGGTCTCACGGTAGTGCTCAACCCAGCCATTGGCCGCGCTCTGCTCCTGAATGGGAGAGGCCACGATACCCAAGGGCACGGCCAAAATCAGTAAAATGGACTTGCGGTTGAAATACATGTTTGAGAAAGTATTTTGATGAATTTGGAGCGTTTTTGGAAACTGAATTTGGAGATGAATTGAGAATGTTGAGGATGAAGCAAGATGTACGATCTATTCCACCTTTTATAATCTAGAGCCCCTGGAATGAGCTTGAGGCCTCAAGGATATGCTGGCACAGGCATAATCAGAGCCCAAGCCCTTCTAGTATGGTTGGCCCGTCTCCATAATTGATTAGTTGACCGCAAAACATGCACCTTGTAGCCGGCCCCGATCAGCGACTGGGTCTTAGGGCGATGGATCCCTTGGCGAGGTATTCCGTGACTTCAATGACTAGTTCAGTGGGCACAAGGCGCCTACGAAGGAGTTTGATAACAAGGTAGGGCTCATCTACATCATGGTCATATGCGTCGACAGGTCTTGCCGCAACGCGCGCCAACCAACATTATAACATATTACAAGGAAAGTTACCTCATCGGGGGCCGAGTCAGGGTAGTTGGTCTCGGAGATCCCTGAGCTGAGCGTAATGCCTTGGCGCTTAGCACCCATAATACAGCCTACTAAGTCTTCGTGAGACGCACTATTGGGTAATCACAGAGCCCGATGTTGGGACGGAGCCATGACGAGGTTCTCAGCCACTCAGTATACCTTGCGATTGATCAATGGGGGCGCTCATCAACTAGATCGACCCCCGCCATACCCCGAATGCTACCTATGCTTGTATAACGCTGAGACAAACTCTACCCCTGCGTCGTCGTGACCCAATCAAAGCTCCTTCGAGTCCTGCACTATACGTTGGTTAATATTTTGCATGTGATGCAACAGTCTGTAGGCCAGGTACTCTTTTACACGAAAAAAAGGGTCCTACACGTAAATCAGCCGTCTACATTCTGAAATGCCCGTAAACGTCAAATGTTCTTCTCTAATAGGTAGTTGCTTATATTTGTTCCAGAATCTTAGGTCCTCTTTCACCTAAAGTGAGTTTGCACATAAGAAACTCACAGGCTCTGCCTCAAAGCTACCTACCTCACAAGCTTCCACACCTCTAAGATTTCCTCTACCTTTGTGCTTCTTGATCCACCCCTAACAATCAAGGCTTAGACAGCACAGATGGGGCCAAAGAGTAAGAAAGATCCTTGCCCCAAGGCTTCTCGCCCCAAACATCCCCTCCCTGCTGGCCTCGGAAGGGGTCCTGCTTCTCGTTTACCGTCCAAGGTAGATAGAATACCAACAAACACATGCCTAATTCACTTCATAGGACTAAGTTACAGCTGCTACGGCCCCAGTGGATCAGATACTATGATTCGTCTCAACATTCCTACCAACTAGATTTTACGCCTGCGAATGGCACAGCCCCAGAGATGAAAATAGACCACAATGTTGAGTGCTGATCGAATCTATCTAGAACAGCAACTTGGCAGAAAATGGCATTTATATAAAAAGCGCTCGAGATCTGGCAGCAATATCAAATGCACACCATCCTTTTTCTATTCAAAGTTTACTACCGAAAGCCGTACAACCATTCGACATGTTGTTCAACATTCTTGTTAGTCAACTCTTTCTGCTTTTTCTTAGCTGCTCGCCCGTCTTTGCGGTCCCAATCAATGGAGCTGGGGGTGAAGCAGACCTGCTTGCGCGTGCTGGCAACAATGGCAAGGGCACATCGAAAAGCAATCCCAAAGATGCAACATTTGACGTTGCCGGATGGGAAGACATCGCGGAAGAGGATTGCTATGTAATGCTTTGCTTGAAGAATGGAGAAAGAACCTGGTAAATACTACCTATACTTATTACCCAGCTTACCAAGTTTCATTTACTAATAGATCAAACCTGCAGGCAAAGAAACCCTACAACTGGTCTCAACAAAGCCCATTACCGAAAGTCTGGAGCAGCAGCGAAACCCTTCCAAAAGGACCATGTGCCCAAGCGCCATACCGGGCAAATCAATCCCCAGCCTGGAGAAAGGACAGAGACCAATAGTGCAGAAGAGTTTCCCTGGGAGAGTATGTCCCAAGGGGGCTCAAACGCCGATTTGCTCCCTGCCACTCGGCATGAACAAAAATGTACGTTACATAATAATGGCTTGTACCAAGAAAAGTTTCTCTCTAACACAACATGAATGACAGTGCAAGGAGCTGCTATTACGAAAGGCTTTCATGGTAGCGATATTAACCTCGGCGACTGGTTCAAAATCACATTTACAGGCAACCTGGGCCCCATTTGCCAGGCGCTACATCGAGATCCCCCAGACGACAGTATTTGCAAAAAGCCCGAGGTTTCCCTCTTTGGCAAGAAAATAAACCTCAACGACTGGGTCTGGTACATGGCTAAGGTTGGAGGGAGCCTCGCATACTATCATGCAGCTGGCAGCTCCAAAGGCAAGATTGGGAAGCGTATGAGCCCAATCGGAGTCCATACTTATAACGACGAAGGATACCAGTTCGTCGAGGGGCGCGATGAGGATTTCAAGAATGGTGACATTCCACCTATCGTCAAGCTGCATGGGGATTTCGAAGATGGCAAGCTCGATGCCCTCGAGGCACGCGCAGAACATTACACAGATGGAAAGCCCGCTTCGCTCGAGATGTTCGAAGCAGATCTCGAAAACATGGAGATTACTGAAGAAGATTTGGAGATTATCAAGCCATGAAGCCGGACGATCATCTATCTACAGAGTACTTTGCGCTTTTTATGCGGCTCTAGGTCGCTTTCATTCACCACTAGCTTTCGACAATTTCATTCTGCGAAGATAATTCCTAGGCATAAAGTAAGTAAATTGTGTTTGTTGAATTTCAGTCTACAAAGAAACAATAAGTGGGACGTCAGTAGGTAGGTATACTCCGAAATCATCGCCCAGCCGGAGCCGAAAAACTGTAGCAGAGCAATTCTAGATGCCATGTAGGTTGACCCAGCAACCGTCATACAAACCTATATGACAACGATCATCCTTCCTTTGCAGGCAATCTGGTCTGCTCTCTCCTCCCAAATTTCCGTATGTTTCGAAGAAGGTTCAGCACCTTCTCTTATCTAGAGAAAAGCCAAGCTATACGGCCTCATATGACCCCGCCAATATGGAGAAGTCTAGGACAAGGACAAGGTATTTCGATCCACAACAGCGCAATACTGGCTTTGTCACTGACTATGTTAGACGACGTACCCATTGAAGAAGCTGATCTCTATAAATACCAACGATACCGATGGCTGTGCGTGGTTCATTATGACGCTACCTACCACTCTACCTACCTGCTAATAAGGAGTCCTTAGGAGCCGGGAAGCTGAGAAGCTCGCAGTACGTTATCGTAAATTCAAGTTGCCAGCCCTTTTGGACGCTGCCGTCAACGTGACCGGTCTTAAGGATGCCCAATGTGAGTGCTTACCATATTGAAATTCTTCCACGGCTTATTGTTTTTAGGTATCAAGGTTCTCAAATGCATGGAAGGGCAATACAATAAGGCGCTAGTCCTGACCATGAGTACTGGCCAAGAGATAGTTGCTAGACTGCCAAACCCAAATGCAGGACCGGCTTTTTACACAACTGCCTCGGAGGTAGCTACTCGTCAATTTGTAGGTATCTTAACTCACGATCTTCTGCACGGCTGACACGCGCAAAGCTCCGTGACTACTTGGAGATTCCAATTCCCCGTATTTATGCTTGGTCCGCGGAAGACTCAAACGCAGTAGGGGCTGAGTATATCCTCGAGGAAAAGGCAACAGGGCAGCCATTGGGATCACTCTGGGATACATTGCCCTTACCATCTCGGTTGGACATTGTCAAACAAATCGTCGACATAGAGAAAAAGCTCGCATCAATCACCTTCCCCAAGCACGGATGCATATACTATCAGTCAGACCTCGAATCGCGACACGCTACGCCATCTTTTGCTTCGGTTCCGGACAACAATCCTGGTTTGCCCAAATTTGCGATCGGCCCTCTGACTCACCCAAAGTATTGGCAGGGTAAAAGGGCATTGATGGAACTCGATAGGGGACCATGTGGGTTGTTTCATACCTTGTCACTTATCTTTGGTTCTAACAGTACTAGGGAATAGCATTGCGGATTATGCTGTAGCTGTTGGGAAGAATGAGATTCAATGGGCCGAGGAGAACGCGCAACCAAGAATGAACTTTCAACGGTCACCCGAGGAGCCCGAAACCCCAGGTGATTACATATCGTTGCTCCAGCGATATACTAAGCTTGCTCCTTTCCTGGTCCCACCCTCAGCGAGCAGTGAGCAAACCATTACAATCTCACACCCCGACTTGCACCTTGACAACGTCTTTATTGATCCACAAACGAACCATATCACGTCCATCATCGACTGGCAGCACGCTTCCGCGTCGCCCATTTTCTTACAGAGACCATTTCCGCAGATGCTTGAACTTTCGCGGAACCCACAAGCTGAGCGCCAAGTAATCGAGAAGCGACTCCTGGAATTCTATTTTGAAGCGCTGAAGAGTACGGACCCTTTTCGCTGGAAAGTACTTGGTGCACCGTTCCATGATATCAGAACGGAGCCCATTTCACTGGTGCCTTGTTGCTGGGACCGGGAGGACCTCTTCTCCCTCCGCAATGCAATGATCGCAGCTGTCGCTCGTTGGAACGATATAAGCGATGGTAAAACTGAATGTCCAATTGGATTCACAGAGAAGGAACTGGAGCAGCACCAAAACGAGATGGAGCTGATCGAAGGGGTCTCAATGATTCTTCACCAGCTACACGACGACGGGTTTATCTCTCTGGGTGGAATGGTTTCTCCAGAGCGATATGAAGACGCCAGGAAATGGAACGAGTATTTCAAGCAGGAGTTTATCGATTTGGCTGAAGATGAGAAACAAAGAGAGCTACACGCCAAAGTCTGGCCGTACTAATTAGGAAGTACCCCGAAGGTTGATAAAATGGGATTCAACTGCAAGACCTTAAGTTACCTTACATGGCTAGGCACTTTAGGTGAATAGGAAAGCAAAACAATGATCACCTACCCATCATGTGATGTACGGACTACTTCTTCCTGTACCTCTCTCCTTTGATCATCATCATCGATCATCATATCAGCTTTCCTCCTTTTTCATCCAATAGGAGAAGCATCCTACAGAAAGACGCAAAAAAACACCCGAAGCAGATGACAATAGATGATCTATTCGTAGACAATTAAATGCTGTACTGTACTCCCCTCTTTTCCTCAATTGTTCCCAATGGTTTCTCTGGTTGCCATACTTCGATGATTGTTGATGTCTGCTTGGTGGAGTGAAAGTGTGAAACATCAAACAAGGGGTAGTGGGTTCTAGGCCGTATGAGGCATAGCGCCCCTTTGCTCCTGTTATCTTAACACTCATCGCAGCCCCCCGTGTCCCAAGCCGAATTGGACAAGTACGCTCTCCAAATGTCGAATACCCTACCACCCTTTGTGGCGGAAGCTCTAGAAAAAGCAGACAGAAATCAGATACAACTTGCTGGTGTCGGCTGTTTTGCACAGGTTATCAAAGTAGCCGACACCGGGTTTGTCATTAAGGAAACTTTTGATCATCCCGTCGTGGGAAATTTGCAACCGACAGAAAAACGTATCTACGAACGACTTGGCCATCATCCTTTTATTCTGCGTTACTACGGCGAGTATTGTCAGGGAAATGGTCTCCCAAGTGGGCTTGTTTTTCAATATCACCGTGCTGGGACCCTGGCGGACAATCTTGCGCTCTCGAACTATCAAGACAAGCGGGCTCAGTACGATTAAACTCCCTTCAAGACTGTCCTTCTGACTGACGCGTTAAAGATGGCCTCTGCAAGCCGCGGAAGCCCTACGATTTATCCACTCCAAGAATGTAATACATAGCGACTTTGGCAGCCACAATTTCTTGATTCAGGAAGATGGCACCTTGGCCCTAGCAGATTTTGGTGGCTCTCGGATCGACGACACCGCGGCCGTGGTATCGTATTCGACACGATATGAGAGACCGTGCTCTGACTACGACTTGGACTCGACGGAGATTGACGACCTATTTGCTCTTGGGACTGTTATCTATGAAATCAGCGTGGGACATCAATTGTATGCTGATAGATCTAGCAGAGAAATCCGGAAATTACTACACCAGCGAGAATTTCCAGATTTAGGACGCATTGCTGCCGATATCCGGGCGGTAATCAGGAAATGTTGGTCAAATAAATATGAGACCGCAGAGGAAGTCATATGTGATTTGAAGGCCACCTCCTCTCCCTCACATCCGCCTCTACTCTGGTTTACTGGACTTTCTTTGGGAATAGTTATCACTGTCCTTGTCATGATTAGGAGGAAGAACCAGTGATTATTTTGATAAGAATTTCATTTTGTCGGTGTTGAGAGGAACTTCTGCCAGCTTTCATCATATCTCCGTTTCCCATGCTTATCCTCTGTTCAAGTCCAGGATTCAGAGTCTTACATTCAAAGGAAACAGCTCTCTAAATTACAAAGCACTAGCATTGACAACTGACAGATGGATCATACATTTAACTAACGTTGTCAGTCGTTGTAGAGCCCATTTGCCTGACAAATAGGACAACGGCCTTTCAACTTGGTTGACCCGAGGTTAGGTGGCCATTGCACTGCATCGGCACAAAATCCATCAGCGCCCTTCTCCTTCACGCAGGAAAGCTTGTTTATGACGCCTTGACTCATGTTTGGTTGTATCGTCTCAATTCTCCGTATAATCGGGAGGTTATGGTCTTCCCCATCAGGGAAAGTGCATCGAGAGTAGTGCTGCACCACTCGAGAGTAAACACACATATTGACCAGAGTAAGGATGAAGACGAAGGTGCAGCTTTTTGTGTAGACGACAGATTTTCCTGTTGCAGACATTAGCCATGCTTTCGGGTATTATTCCCGATATCAGGCCTTGTTCGACGTCCTTCGGACTTCCCAGGCAGGAAGGGGACTTTACAGAGCAAGCACTTAATGCGAACCTGTTGTCGCATCGGACCTCCTATGTAACGGAAATATCACCCACCTTTTATGCTGGGAGACCTTGAAGACAGATCGAGTCTCGGTAGAAAACCATCTAGACCTGGCCCTGAGGTAAAAGAGTAAGGGAACCGATGATGGTTCAGAACTCCAGTTTAATTGCAAGATGTCTCGCTCTAACGAGCTTCAGGCCCGAGGCCATTCCAGCCAGTCGAAAAGTAACCCACCCATACCACCATTAGGGATAACAAGGCTACCAAAAGTGAGAGATTTCTTTGGATAAGCGCCATGAATACATCAGATGGCAGTGTTTCCTTGTTTGATTGGGCCCAGATATGTGAGGTGGCTATAGAGTGCATAAGCGGTTTCCCACAACGAGGCCAACCTTCTCTGGTTGGCGGTCGTAGCTAGCTCAACCGTCTATCAAGGGGAGAAGGTGGGGAAGAGCGCGAGCAGTGGACCAACAGTTTGTCTCAAACCTGGACGAAACACTCTTGAATCCTTGAACCTCCATGTGACAGACCTCTACTAAATTCTACGTATACTGAAGTCCTTCCATTGACAGTCCATAATGGCACGTACTGTCGGTCGAGGAGGTCGTAATCTCCAGCCTCTTCCAGGTTCTCGTCCGGATTTACTCAGACGCCTAATGCACCACCCACGCATACCCAACATCCCCGCAGAGCAAATATTCGAGGCGGAGATAGACAACGTAACAGCGACACAGATTGACGACAGATTTGTTGCGCTTCTGACTCAGGACCACTTCGATGACATGTTTAACAACGATCTAGAAAGATACGACGAGCCAGACGGTCCACAGGTGACGACTGGTGACCTGCGACGCGTGTGGAAGGCCACCTGTGTATATGAACAGCTTGCCGAAACACACCCTCACCTTGTTCGCTTCGACCATCGCGACCCATTCTTTGGGGTTCCTATCCTTGACAAGCCATCAACTACAGTCGATAAGCTCGTGGCTAAGCACAGGTCTACTATGTACTCTGATGCAGATGGACCATCGCGGATTACGCCTAAGTACCAGCCACTAATTTATCAATAGGCATTACATCTGGTGTCAGCACTATCTTTTGTACATTTAAGGAACATTATCTTTGGCGATCTGCAGATTAAATTATACTAATTATCTTCATCTCTCTCACTCTCACTACTTGGCTTCCTTGACGCTGTTTACATTGATAGTCAGAGATTCAGGAAGTATATTAATGAGACTGTTAGGGATGAGGCATTCCACCCCTGCAATATACCCTGATGACATAGTCAGGTGGCCACTGTTCATACTGATCTGTTTCTCTGGGGATGTCTTATCTATCAGCTCATGACAGGGTCCTGGCCTGGCCATGAACGGGAGAATGCAGAGATCCGGCAGATGGTGGTGCAGCATCAATGGCCGATCCTTGAGAGGGAATATCTGGGCGATATCGTGCGAAAGTGTTGGGAATATGGCTACGTGGATGCGGAAGATTTGAAAAGAGACTTGGATAGCTTTTTATCAGATCAAGGGTGGAAGGTTGATGGTGATGATCTATGTGGATTTCGGGCGCCTGAGCTCTTCGATTCTTTATAGATGACCACTTTTTGTCGGTACTCGCCTTTTCTTGAAGTGACTTGAGCCATTACGGTCTCAGTCAACAACTGGTCTAATGTCAAGCAAGATTGGACAACCGCGAAACTCTTAAGACAAGCGGAAACACAAATCAAGGCCAGTAGTTTGACATTGGCAGTGGTTCAGCGTCCTAGGATTGCACACTTTCACTGGAAGACTTGTCTACACCTAGGCATGGGGCATGCCTATTAGCATAGCAATCTTCCTAAAGCAGAGAGGGGAATTCAAGTCAATGGTAGTTATTCATTTCTATCAGTACGGCTAATTTAGCAAAATTTCAGCTTGAAGATATCAGTATGATACTAGGTAATCGTGACAACCAGGCTTCCTACATTTCATCCATTAAATTCCTCAGTTTTTGCACATCAAACAGCCTGGGCTTCTTTCTATCTGGTATATCAGAAACTGCCTTATCGACGTGATTCCTCAACCTCTCAACAACATCAGTTCTAATTTCGAAACAATTTCCATTGAACCAACCGTTAAATATCAGCAGGGACAGCAGGCCAGAGGGCAGACAACTAAACCTGCGACTGAACAAGGCCAAGATCTGGTTATAGTGTGTTGAGAAAATATCCACCACCTTGGCAGACGCCATAATGTCCGAGTAACGACGGCCATTCTCCCTATATGTAATCCCAAGAGTTTGCAACATCTGCGGAGGGGAGAAGTTGACAGGGGCGAATGGAGACGACTCATCATCAGGATCAGTACATGGAGGAAAGAAATATTCCATCCTTGTCAGAAACGGCAGGTGCAGAAAGTCCGGTAGGACAAGGTACTCCAGGAGGGGGAATGCACTGAGAATCTGTAGAACAATATGGGCATTGTAGTACCAAAGGGCAAGGACTTCTTTAAAGAAGAAGTTTTTCATCGCCCTGATGGCAGCCTCCTTCAACTGCTCACTGTCAACTGAACTGCCGCCATTTGGACGGTGACCATCACAGTCCACAATCTTCAGGCCCGTGGCAATGCATTTCTCTGTGAAGGTATGCACAAACTCCTGCCGAATCCCCCCATATCCCATGTACCAAGCCACATCACTAACTATATTATAGAAGTCGTCGCATGTCCAGGTAACAGCACAGACATATTTGCGTGAATCCACGGAGGCCTTTGCTAGATCCTGCTGGAGAGAATTGAGCCCGGGAAGCAAGTACGGATGACAGAGTTCCACCATGCAATCCCTGAGCAGTGGAAATGTCCGAAGGCCTTCCTCGGACAAGAGACGGGGAAGTTTTAGGACTAAACCATCCCTTGTTGATTTTCCTCGAAAGACAAGGGAACGGGTAGCGTTTGCCCACGAGCTGCAGACGCCACGGATGCTTTTTGTACTGCGGACAATCTGGCATAAAGGCAGGACCCGACAGGATAGGCGCTTCTGTATGGAACTGTCCGTGTAGAGTTCGTTTATGAGAAGGTTGTTCAGAATTGATTGGAGGATTTCCTGCGGAAATGATAAAAGAAGGCCTGGTGACTGGTCTGTTGCCTGTGGTGAACACGCCATGGCTTGATGCGTTGCTATACGAGCTCAGATTAAGTGCAAATTTGAGCATCCTATCTACTAGGCACCTGTAGACATAGAACCACTATATAGTGTAGTAGAAATAGAAGTGTAATGATGTGTTCAGCAGTACCTATGACTGCCAAGCACTTTGATTGGTCAGCTATCCCAGTGCTCTTCTATTTCATTGGTCAACGATGCGACCATCCATGATCATTAAGGTAGGTAGGTAAGGTAGGTAGGAGGTGAGGCCTGAATACCTTAAATAACAGGCTATCAGACTACTAAGGTATGCTTAAGTCTACGCTCAATTCTATGCTTGAGCCTATGATTAGGCCATACGGCATACTATAACCCTTTCACAACATCTGTGATATCTGTATGAGACAGTTATCTTGATAAGTACAAGACTCCACCAGATTTAAGGGTTAAATGCTGGCATCTGTTGGCGATCAATGTAACCCACAGAAACTACTTATAACTATTGTTGTATTCCCTGCTGTGTTGACCCTACTGCTATCATACTTACTAGCTAGAGATGGCTGTCTGGACATGGGTTGACATATGACGACCATCGTACCCGAGGTAGATAGACATGCTTGTTTGTCACCTCGTAACTGAAACAACGCTACTCCATAATCAGGCAAGTCGTAATGATTCATTGTGTAAGAATAGATTTTTTACTCCAGCATGATTGCATTGCATTATGTATGATGTTATAAATTACATGAAAGACTGATATACTCGCACCTCGCCGCCCCTCTATTCTGCAGCACTATCTCGAGGATTGCCATACGGCCCATACCCTTAAGCCCAATATGACACCGAGACTACCCTATCCTAAACACAGCAAAAGAACCGTCAAAAATATCCGCAGGAACTTATGACAAGGCCATAATATTCCTGCACAGAATTGTTGACTAGAATGCTTAGACCCAACGCGCTTATGTTGGGCCCAACGATACCAACGATTACAAACTTACTATTGGATCGCTCGTAAGAGTCATAAGTTTGCTTACGTCTCAGGTAGATAAATGTTCGCCCACGCCGAGTAGAATAGTGTGAAATTTCTCTCATCAGCCTTCTGTAGCATTATAACATCAGATACACGCTGTTTAAATGGCCACCCCTACTACTACTACCGCTACTGGCGGTTGTTTCTGCGGAAAGGTCCGCATTGAATATAGCGGTCAACCCATGACGGTGGTTGGTGACCTCCACAAATGAATCAGCCTGTCCATGACCTACACTTACCCTGCTTTTCTCCAGGGACTCTGCCACTGTTCCGACTGCCGGAAACTCACCGGCTCTCTCTACTCATACAATTTCGTCGTCAAATGGGCCGACCTGAAAGTAACCGGGAGGCCAAAAGAATCGCCCAAAATAGCGGACAGCGGGACTCATATCAAGAACTATTTCTGCGCAGACTGTGGTGTGTACCGTGCAGGGCTATATGACTGGGTTGGGAAGACATTATCTGATGAGATCGCCTAGGCACACCGCTCTACGGGCTGAGAATGAATTCTGAGGGTGTTCCGGCCGAGACGACCATTCTCCGGGCTGGAATATTCGACAATATCGAAGTTCTGAATCAGCGGAGGCCTGAAGCGGAAATATTCACCAGCGGACGTGTAGCGTGGATGAGTCCTATCGAAGAGACTGGTCAATTTGATGGCATGGTGCCTCTGCCTTAATTCGATCGTCGAGCTTCTAAGGTAAAGCTAGACTGGGCTACAGACAACCATGCTGAGAGCAGACTTATCTTATGTATCAGCGAAGCCTGGGGGGATGAAGAGGTCAAACTTTTATGCAAGGCGTACGGGGCGTGTCAGATGTAGTCAATCACGGCGAGACAGATGTATTCATTGATTTGGCTACAGACCCAGCACTCTTACAGTTCCAACGCTTAAAGATCTCGGAGTGAATAGATGTAATCAACGTAATAAGGACTGTTGCTATCTACACACGGTGGAAGCCTTCCAATGCATGTTCAATATGTTGTGTTGTAATCCTCCGAGGTTCAACATAGATGATTGTGTGGAGTGACGCAGACAGCACAGCGCACCCCTCGTAGCTTACTGCAACAAGCTGATCTGTGTCTCTTTGCTGGCGGAAATTGCTCGTCTTGTTTGGTTCAGATATCGGTCCACGAATGAAGTCTGCATCCCTGTATTTCTGCGGATTCCCGTCGCTGACGCTGGATAGAGGTGAACGGGTCCACGCCGCTATCAGTTGATCTCAATGATCGGCAGTTGGCTCCCAGACTTTGAGTCCCCAGAGATCGGAGTCTTTGAAGATCATGACAGCCCCGGGGAAACTAGATTATGCGAACGCGTATCGAAAGCGTTGGCTGTGTAGAAACCGGGGCCAAATTGTTCTCGTGTGTCTTTGTTGTTGCCATTTCAGGAATAAAGAAGGCGAGCGTACGTGTCAACGCAGCCTACGAGAGACCGCAAAACCATAATAGCTGAGTCAAAAAGATCAGGAGTAAAAGATGGAACTCTTTTGTTGTTTGTCGTTGTTCTTCTCCGCGTTAACTCGGAAGCATCGGACGGCTTGAGGGAGGCACCAAGGCCTGCTCATTTCTCCACTCTTGTGTTCGGTCCGTCCCTGGATCCCCGCGTGGCGTTTCTTGACGATGCTTGTTTTCCCTTACGGCGGAGGTCGAGGAAGGTGTGGCGCGACTCGGACCAGGAAGTGTAGCCTTCGTCGCAGTGATCGGGGAAGTAGTGGCACGAGAGCGGGTATGATGGGTGGGGGAATCGTGAACGACTTCCCAACATCAAGGGGCTCATCTTCGCTGGCAGGCATGTCTCACAGCTTGGGGGGTATCTAGAGAGGTAGCCCAGGCCACCAGCGCAAATGATGCCGTTATGCGAATTAGCAAAGATTGACACGAGAGGATAAAGACACTTACTGATCAACTTGTTGA